CATTATGTTCCCTGCTTGCCAGCTCCCCCCTATCACCCACAGAATAGGGCCTTTTTGTGTTGAGAATACATGTAACAATAGACCATGTGATGCCAAGAGAAAAAAGATGCGGAGCTCTGGACATGCACGCTGATGACTTCCATTACCCTTCGCTCTATGTGTACATACCCACATGGTATCTACCTTGCCTGGTCTTATTTAACCTAATACCACCTAAGGGCAGTTGGTCAAATAGTTCTTGTGTGAAATTGTATGAGAGAGTTAGAAAACTAAAAATCCAACAAATATTACATTTGAAAGTGAGTTGTACACGGATGTGTATGTGGTTGGGTGGGAAGAATGCCAGGCATCCTCGCTTCCTTCCAGAGCTGAGATGTGTGTCATCACGAGAGCCTCCAGTGATGGCAAACAGTGCATTGATCTTGTCTCGGCCGTGTTTTATTAACACGACTTGTCACCTCTTTATATCGTTTGAGACGAGCTCTTTTTGCTCTCCTTTCATCCGGGCCCTGCTTTCGTAGTGTGTTCCCCCCCTCCCCTCACTATACACTTGAGAAGTTACTATCACTAACTGTGGTAGCCTTTAGTATTACGGTAATGCCATTCGCTTTATGCCCTGGATTTTCAGCTCTCTTCGCCGAATTATTAGCATTTTGTTCGTCGCATCTTTTACCACTCTCTGGTATGTAGTATGATGGTATGGTATTATTCCTGCTTGTGTGTATACGTACCATACACGCGTGTGCTTAAATTAGATTTACATTCGAGTGTTTGGAATTTTTCCCCCGACAGTTGATACGTGTGTTTGGTGCCGTTTCCTGCATGTATGTAACGTGTAAGATAATATGCTGTAGCACGACTGGAGACCTGTAGTGTGGACTGTATCTACGTTCCTTCTGCGCGTTGTACAGATTTAAAACTGAGGTGGCTGCGCGAGTGTGTATATAATACACGTACGTACAGCAAATCCACATCGGCAAGTTGTAAGGGAATCTGTGGTTTGAGCAAGATGGGCAGAGTGTGAGCTACCACCTACGCCTAATCCACCATTCAACCCGAGTTCGCTATATTGAATGACATACCCGCTTTGGCTCTGCCATTCGACACACTAATGTTTCACAACTTCGTGTAACCAAATTCCTCCATTGTCGGCGAAATTAGTATATGAATAGTAATGAACAAAACCTGTACATCGCCGAGATGGTACTTAATAAATTATGCATTCATCCGAGAACCTTTCATAATTAGTGCTGTTTTGCATATTCGTTACCATAACGAGTGCGTTGCTAGGATCATCAGCGTAAAGTTTTCATATCTTCTTTCTCCGTATAGTAACACCGGGGGAAGTGAGAGCGATCGCGAGTAGCATTGTTTTTTCAGCTACAAGATATACAGCAGTGTTTGTAGACAGAGTGTCGTGTTTTATTGTAACTCTGTACGTTTGCCTGTAGCTGGCTTGTTGGTGCATGTACGTAATCTATCATGTTGATATTATCTTGTTGGAACATGGCGTCTCTATATACAGACTACCTCGCTCTTATACTAACTGCTCACTCTCTGTAATCCTTTGCTATAATGATACACGATGCAAATTTGTAAACTTCAACAAAGCACAACATCCCAATGTATGGGTATGATAGACCGATATCTATAGCGTGCAACAGTGCTGTGTGGACCCATCATACCCATACATTGCATGAAGCTTTGTCTCCATCGTGGTTCAGAAGGCTGAGTAGCTCAGGCCCATTTTTAGTAAAAGACGACTGCTCTAAGTATAATGTATGTTGATTCGTTCCACACGTTTGAATGGAGTTCGTGTAACTAATTCGTGTTTATGTGCAACTATGCATGTCCCCGAGAGAGCTGCGTACACTATTGTATGCACTCATGTATAGTAAGTGCACCGCTCACTGTTGATTTTAATGAGCTACCACGTATCAATTAATGTTGCATACACTTGGCCAGCTTTTCGCTGATTTGGCAAGCTACGTATCTTCTCTCTCTCCCTCTCTCTCTATTGCCCCCCCCTCTCTTTCTTCCAATCTCGTGACTCTCCCAAGCTATTGAAGAGAGGGAGGCAGGAATGCCGACTAATGTACCTTGGATGTAGCACACTTTTACGGTGACAGCAAAGCTTGCTCACGACATCGTGTTCGTAAATGTATCGCAATTGCTCCGAACAGCCGGTGCATTCATGATCGACATCATACGAACAAGTAGCTGCTATTATATTCATTCGTCCGCCAGTTTCTGAGTCAGCAGCTCACTCTGCATCACTGCCAGAGATGGGTCCACCATATATTGCGGGTTCTCCTTTAATCAGGACGCTAAATAGCCATCACAATGGATCATTTACCCCTACCTACCCCCTGTATCTTCGGTATACTACTGCATGTACATATGCCTAAACAACAAACATGACTTGATTGTGTTGACGACAAGTCTCCACGTTATTTAAAAATGTATTGCTAATTAATCCAGTGCCGTTGCCGTTGGCGACAGCCTGACGGACTAGCCACGGTAGGCACTCAGTACAACAGATGGCACGCGTGGATTTTCAGACTCGAGCAGACAAACACCGTGCCTCACGGCAGTCATCAACTCGCATATGGCTGGGTGTGGGTGTAAACTGGGGGCATGCAATACGGCCGGGGAGTGTGGGAAACTCTGGTCCAGTGTCACAGACACTGATCACTCATTAGGCTGCTATTACGGTCAGGTTACGTGGTGTCGGGGTCACGGAATTCGGGGCATGTCAACTGCCGCTTGCCCGTGAAGAAATCAATGCTTGATTCCTCGAATACCTCAATTAATGAACACTGTATGTTTTTCACCTTGTTTTTCATGGTTTGTATTACTGCCTGACAGCTTGAGATGTTTTTTTGACGATTTTTTCGTTAATTTTTTTCACACACGCAGCAGCGCCTTTTCAATCTCCGCTCGACTTTAGGGTGACTGCGTCCACATTCCATTCAGCAACACTGGAATGGGACATGCCCCCTCTGGCCTCTTGGAATGGAATTCTGACGCACTATTCCATGACCTACACGCTCATCAATTCAACCGCCAGTCCCTGTAATCATAGCCTTAACGAATCTTGCGTGGTACCAGTGGACCTACGTAGAAATGTTGAGACGGTGGATGACCTGATTCCATTCACTCAGTACTGGTTCCAGATATCTGCCGCGACACGTTCCGGGGAAGGCCCTGTGGCGTCGTTGCTATGCAACACAACACAGGCCGGTAGGCCCAGCTTGCTTATGCAGCAGTTTTTAAGGAAGTATACGAAAATAGATTACAGTTCCATGTGTTATGTCATCGGGGGTTATCCAAAGGATTCTGGGGAAATGGCACACCGTACCACTCGTCCCACTCGGTCTATTTTGTGTGGGTTATCGCTAGCGTTGTTTGTGTCCCCCGTGAAACACTACACCGTATACATCCGCTGCGTGTGCATACTTTCACCGACGCACCTTTACACGTCCGATCTCGTATACATACTGTAATTACGTATTGTGATGCACGCATTTGTTTGTGAAAACCAAACGCATTCTTTGGTGAATTTAAAGATACCGGGATAAAAATTTAGTTCATCGGTTGTGTTTGTTTTGTTGAAACCGGAAGCAATTCTTTTGCCAATTTAGGGACAAAAGAATTTTAGTTCACCGTGTCTTGATTTGAGCTTGAAATCAGCGTTTTACACCTCTACGTGTGAATGGGGACGATTAATGCGAGACGTTTTGGGTTTTGGTGGGCGATGTGTGTCCAAATGACCACCACTTGTCACAAAGCTACGTCCCATTATTACCCACGGCCCATAAGGAGGTGCTCTGCGTTGAAGCAGACTAGTCAGAACTCAATCGCGTTAATCGTCCATTTCACACCACCTGGCTGGAAGGTGAGCTTTCCCTTTAATCTTTTCAAGCGCTTTTCCTGACAGTAAATTGCTAATGACAGACGTCTCAATGCGCCAATGGCAGGCTATAGGACGGTGTTTGAATGGGACACAGAGACCCAGTGTGTGACTCGTCAGGGTGTGAGGCCGTGAGCTATTTCCCTGCTCCAACCCACACCACTCTCTACTCTTACAGTCACTGATATATTGAATTCCCCCCCTACCCTCCCTCCTGGTGCCCTCCTCCTCCCTCTGTTCCCTCATTCCTTTTCCCAAATGTCTCTGTATAATGCCGATACCTGTGACTACAGTGTGACCTACTGTGGAACAAACAAGAACACTACGGCAATGATTCAGCGTACACGTATCGTATCTCAGATACCTACGAAGAGGTGGTGGATGCTGGTATACAACTTGAGGAAGAGGGAACGGGCGAAGACTGCTTATCATTGAGGGTGGTCTGGAATAAGACCCTGATTGATGACATGTTGATCTCCTTTGGCATTGATAGTAACGCCACCTCAACGCGGCTCACTGATCAACAAGCCGGCTGGATAAACTACTCACTGACTCTCTCTGACGTCACGCAGGAGAAGAAATGGAAAGTGAGACTCGGAACCGGATGCCCCATTGTATCGTTTCCCTGGCGACTGGCCCGTCAATGGTGCGAGAGAGGTCCTGGTTTCTCTCTCTCTCTCTCTCTCTCCGTGGAGGTCCCCTTGCTCAACAGATCTCGCCTTCATCTGGTGTCGCACACGCTGGTCAATATCTCTGACTGTACTGGTAGGCTTCTCATTGGTTGTTTAGAGTTATGTGACAGGACCGTACGTATATCTAAAAAAAATTGCCATTTTGAACCACTCGGTACGTAGGCTCTCTCTGCTCGCCAATAATCGTAGTGAACTACAGAATGTATTTCCTGTGAATCGAAAGAGTTGGGTGTATAATAGTGTGTGTTTGCAACACCTTGTCTTATGGACAAACAGACCACACTATGTGTAAGTGTGTGGAGGAGTTAAATGGATTAATTATTTGTGGTTTAATCTTATCACATGTTACGTAACTGTCTGGAATATAACGGCTTGTAATTCTATTTTTAATCGCAGGGGCTAACAATGACACTGCACCTGATTGGAGAAAGGTGGTGTACTTGGCAGCTGGCTGTGTGGTTGCCTCGGTGGTTCAACTGGTCCTTTGTTTCTGTTTCTGCAGGTGCATACTTTCCCCATTCTATAAGTGGGGGGGCTTGATGTACCATATGCTGCTTAACTGGGCAAATACCTCCTTCTGCATGCCGTTGATAGTTTGGATATTTTAGGCGCACGTGGATGGGTGATAATTAGTTTTTGTAATGTAACAGCTGATTTTCATACCACTGGACATACATTCTTGAGCCAAATGAGGTATGGGATGATTGTTGTTTGTTTCAGATTCTTCATCAAACGACGACGTAATCTCTCGGCCGTCTCTTCCAGGAGGCGTGGGAACATGTTGATAATGGACACGTATCGGGGCGAGCGAGATTTGGAGGTCGAGCTCCCGCTGAGTCTAAGAGAAGGGGACGGTATGGAGATATCGACGGACAGCAGTAGCAGCGAAAGAAGCAGCCTGCTCTCGCTGATTGCTCAACCAAAGGGGGAAACTGACTCTGACCTGTCCCTCGGAAGTTTCTCCAGCTTTGGTAAAGGAACCGGTTTGCTTGAGGACGGAGGTGCAGAAGACGATGGAGGTGGATATTTGAGATCACACTCTAGTTCGCTCCTCCCGTTGTCCTCTCGTCCTCTCCCGCCATCCTTCCCAATACATCTCCATACAAGAGCAGTGACACTGCTCTCCCTATCTCAGTCAAGATCATCTCCCGAGGGTCAATCGTCCAGTTGTTCATCCACCTCATCTCCTCCGCCGCCACCCTCTGCTTTGATGGCTGACTGAGTCTTTACACAGCAATCAGTACTATTGAGCTCCCCGCTCCCTCCCCAGCTGTGTCAGAGTCCAGTCATCTCCTTTTCCCGACACACCCTTCAAATCAGGTCATTTCATGATTTCAACTTGGCTGAAAAGTCACCCATCAAACTCTGCCATATACACACACACACACCATACACGTATAATTATAGTGTAGGCATTACAGTATTTTGTCTCTTGTGTCTTTCACTCTCAGTGTGTAGTCGTGTGAGGACCACTAGTCGGTGATTAATCCCTCATTCTCCCTCGAAAATGATGCCAATTTCTTGCCCGGCCCATGTTCTGCCTCTGTCGTGTGTTTGCCTCCAAAGCCTCTTAAGAGGTCTATACGAAACTCTGATTGAGGCTCTTTTGCTAGCCATCTGATGTAGTGTGACAGCACGGCTGCCGGGAAAGACTGAATACATTTGCACTATGTTCGCTACACATGTTGGACAATGCCCCTCAGAAAACGCCGCGGAAGCAACACACTATAAAAGTCTTTTCACGGGATTGGTTAGCTAGAGAGTTTGGTCGCGTCCGGTGAGCGAGCGTATTTGGTGTGAGCGCACACAGTCTGCTGGACATTAGGAGTCGTGTGAGAGCTAGAGAGAGAGTGTCTGTTGGGCTAGTAATGAGACTGAGCATCCCTAGCTACTACGGACAGACATTCTTCGAATAGTTTGGCCGCAGTGTGTAGCTAATCCACAGCGTGGGCGGTTGGGCCCGTTGATAGCCCGAGAGCCGGCAGTCCGGAGGTATAAAAACAGCTCACATTATTCGGTAGACTCAGTGGACCCTTCATGTTCGTACTATGAGCGAGAGTAGGCTGGACAAAAGCCCAACTGCAAGCAGCCTGCACAAATCCCTCGACAGCACTACCCAGAGCTCCCTGAACTACCCCGTCAGAAGGATGCGGAACACTGCAGTACTAGTGAAATGGATCGAAGAGCACCAGAACAATCCCTACCCGACCAAGGCCGAGAAGCAGTACCTGGCCTACTACAGCGGCATGAATCTCACCCAATTGTCCACGTGGTTCGCAAACGCGCGGCGGAGAATCAAGAAAATCGGGATGAAGACCTGGTTGGAAGGCCGGTCGACGTTTACCGTGGATTTCTTCCCGACTCCGAGACATCCAGACACTTACGGAGTTGCAGGTGAGGGATTTTCGGCGCATTTTATGCTCTGCTGTCTTCGATTGCTCGCGTGTGTTAGCAAAGCGTGCGACGTTTAGTGTTACCGATCTGCTCGCTTACAGTTGTGTTTTGCAGTAATTTTTGTAGACCAACTTGTTTTTTCTACTGCATAATTATAGCGGCATGTTGTTTACTTTCGGCGCTGTGATGATTTTGGTAAGGTTCAGTAGCTCAGTACTTCTGCAGCCGAGCGTGCAGTGTCACTGCGCGCCCGGCATTAGTAAACGATCGTCTCGGATTTCACTCTTCGCATTCTGTAGCCGCCGGTTGGCATTGCGAGTTGTACTGTATTTTCCCTCCTATTATATCTCTATCGTTTGGTACACGGCTACATATAACCCACACTATTTCCACACACACACACACAGCTGCAGCCAATGCCTACTCGCACTACCCAACCTACAACACTGGAACAGCAGCGCTCTCCGGACTCTCCAATTCGTACGCCGGTCAGCATATGAACTCTTCTGTGCTCCAGAACCACGCTGCAGCAGCCCAGCGAACGGCCATCTACTCTGATGCGGTAGCCGTCCAGAGCCCAGTCGCTGCATCCTCGCTTTCTACAAACGGACTCTACACCCCTACCCAGAGACAATCTCTCTCTCAGTCCAGCATGATGATAGGCATGCCCGCCTTCCACAACTGGTCTGCCACCTCTCTCCTTCCCTCGGCCTCCTCTGTCTCCATCCCCACACTACCTTCCTCCAGACACGCCACCAGCAACACTGCACCTCTCCACTCGCCGCTCACCGCACAAGTCTACTCTATCGACTCTTCGCACATGAGACCTCACTCAGGAGGCTCACTGGACGTAGGAGACAGTACTTACACCCTCCAGCAACACTCTCCGGACCACTTGCTGCCTGAGTGTGCAGCTACAGAACCAGGTCAGCTCCCAGTCTCCAATTTGGACCTGTGGCATCCACATTAGTGTTTTAACAATGTTAATTGGCCTCTGTCTAGAACTGCTGGCCAGGAATTGCCCACTGCGTTTTGTTGGGCCCAGCTAAAAACTTTAGTGGGGTCAGAGGCAGATATACAATGCTCTGCACCTCCATGGCCTCATTTATCTTATCTGGAGCCAGGGAAGGGTGGGTCATGGGGACCTGGGATCCTTTTGAAACTCTGCTCCTCTCTCAGTAATGCTATTGTGGGTGTTTTGAAGGTCTGGTATATAAGGTTTCCCAATGGTCTGCAGTAGCATAGCCTGAGGCCCTTCTGCTTATCAGCCTGGGAGGAACTGCATTTCTTCAAAGTCTTGTGCGCAAGGTTGAAGGAAATTGTTTGCTAGCTGCCTTAGGATGGGAGCTATATAATGGTGATTTATGGGGCTAGTCTAACTGTCAGGTAATCCAATTTGAATAGTACAGTGCAAGCTGACCTGGTTACAATAGACAGAGTGTGAGAGAGTCAGGCACGTCAAAAGGCTGTCTGTGGCATGCAGGGAGTGTTGCAAAATGGTGCTAAATGACCTCTTTGAGCTTGGAGTGAATAGACGCTGAATGCATACTCTAGCTCTCTTTACATACACAGCTAACATGAAGGTGATCTGTGTTGCATAGACACTTTTATGCAGGTGCTCTTTTATGCTCTTTAGATGTAAAAAGCTCTTTCTTTCACCTTCCCTGCACACACATTCAGTTTTGCAGGATGGTCAGAAGAACTGAGACAAGGTCAATCTGTATCAGTGAAGGACCAACCATCATTTCTTAGCCAGAATGTTTTGTTTTGTATGTAAGAATGTTTATTTTCTTCTCTACGCTTCCCCCAATGTTTGTTGTCTGTACAGTTTCAGACAATAATTTTTTTAATGTGTGTTTTTTTGCATTTGATTTGTGAACTGTGGACACTTATGTAATAATTATCAACACCGACTACCCACACCAAATTTTTCATCACCTGATTTTGTACCACCTGTTGCTAATTTGCATAATTATTATTCACATCGGTTGACCAGTGTGTAATGTGCAGGAAATGGGAGTAGTCCTATGTTGGGAATTGGTGGATTGAAGACCGATCATTATTTGAAAAAAATTTGTGCTACATGGCTGTTTTTTTTATAAACAGCAGAAGGCAGAGTCCGACCATCATGTTGGTCAAAGAGTCAGCCGAGGAGTCAATGAATCACAGAGATGCTTGATCTGCGCGCGCTAATAGTATATACTTTGCGCACGTGACGCAATGCGCATGCGCGTGCGGGGGTGTTACAGATACAAGTCGCCAGTCGGTCGAAGATCCATATCTTCTGTCAAAAAGGGGTCCTTATATCCCTCCCACTAGTGGTTTGTTTCTCATAATTGTCGCCATGAACCGTCTTGCTAACCATGGTATAAATTTGGATGTGTGTGAATCAGAGTTAGAGAGACAACTCCTGGTGCACTCTACTTGACTCTTTGACTACCATGGACCCCACCTTCTTCAGTCATGTGTTATGCTTCCTACATGTTTTTTTAACTTGTCTGTATACATGTCATGCCCGGGAGGGCCATTCAAACATGAACTTTGAACTTGTTACCGCAGCGCTGCGCGCCAACATCCGTGCGCATGCGTGTTTCAGCCCTCGTGCACGAAATAAAGTTTGACGATTGTGTGAGGAGATCAGTCGCATTCATGCAGAGCATTGATCACCGACCCCGCCCGATCTACTACAGCGCTAGCCGTAGATGTTACGCTATCTACACACACGCGCACGCACTGCCACACTGCACTGATCGATTATCGGGGGGGCCGCGCCGGGGGCCGGCCGCGGCGCGCACTAGTCTAGTGCGCCTGCGCGTTGAAGAAAACGCGCGGCATATAAAACCGACCACCATGTCAAGGAAGGCCGTCCGTCGTTCTTATCCAACGCAGGGCCGGGAAGACTGTGATAGCAGGGGTCAGCCTTGAAAATGGAGCCCGGAGACTCGACCCCACAAGTGATACCGTCCTCACCTTCTAGCGACAACCTCGCGGAGTCTTCTCCTACCGCGAGCGACCCCGTGACGGCAATCAGCCCTGGCACGGACAGCACTCCGAGCACGAGCAGCGCGTTCCCCATGAGGAAGAGGCTGCGAAGGAACCCCGCCGTTCTCATCCGATGGATCGAAGATCATCCCTTCAACCCGTACCCGACCAAGGCCGAAAAGCAGGGCCTGGCCTTCTACGCAGGCATGACGCAGCGACAGCTCAACGACTGGTTCGCGAACGCTCGGAGGAACATAAAGAAGGTCGGCTACGAGAACTGGAAGAAGAAGCACAATGGATTCTCGGCGATCCTCTCTGGGATCCCTCTGGCAAGTAAGCTGCTCCATAGCTAGCCTGATCTCGTACTAAAATGTCTCTCTGCTTGTTCCTAGCAATGCAAATGTTGTAAAGCCTGTGTTTCTAGCTTGTAGTCCGACAAGTTTTGTGTGAAGAGCGATGCGCGATCTCTACCTGCACTTTTTTTTCCAGATAACTGCGGACTCTCCTTTCTTTCTTCAGCCTCTTCCACCGCAAGCAACAACGGGGGTTCCGGATCGGCGGCGACACACCACGGGCTCAACAGCTCCTTTACCAACCACCCCTTTACCAACACTGCCTTTACGATCTCTCCGCTGAATCGTCCGAGCTTCAGCGCATCGGCTCCGTGCACCTACCCGTCCACCAACGGACCCATGTCGCTCGCAGCAGCAGGGATGGCGACCTACGTCAAGCCTACGCCTCTACAAAGCTCCGCAGCCGCTGCAGCCGGTTTCGTCAAGGTGGAAGGAGGGAGCGCCTACTACGGAGGATCGAGCTACGGTCTCGCTCACGCAGCTCCAGGAGAGGGGAGCGGGGGCGGAAGCGGTGCGCATTTAGTCAGCTCCTCAGCCTCGTCCTCTTTCTGCCTGTCCTCTCTCCCGTTCTCGCACGAGAGCTACCAACTCGCGGCAGCCACCGGACACCCGCAAACTGCGACAGGGCCGCTTCTGGCTGCAGTGGACGGCAATATACGGTCGTTCTCTACGCCGACCTCCGCTGCGACCGTTCCCTACATCGCCTGCGACCAATGCGCACCTAGCAGCTCGTCCGCAGTCCAGCACCATCCGGCCGTCCTTTACAACTGGGCTAGCCACGCTCAGCCATTTCCCATGGGCGCCACGACCATGCTAAACCACGCCAGCTTCAGTGGCAGCGGGCTGATGGGCGCGCACACCCCCTCTCCCCCTCCTCCGCCGACACCGTGCGCACCTGTCGCTTCGCCAGAGAACAGTGCGCAGACTCCGGCCAGCGAAAACTCTCTGCAGCAACAGGAACAAGAGAACACCAACTCTCCGCACGAGAGTGGGTACTCCAGCGCCACATCTCCTGCCCTGACAACTCATCACAGGTATAATAATTATTATTATTTCTCAGCAGCAAAAAAACACCCAAGCTGATATCCGTTGGGAAATTGCATTTTGATCTAAATGCATCCATGCTAAAGTTCTCCACAACCGTAGGTAGTTCTCAAAAGTGTGGACAAACCTTCCTTTTCCACCCTATGAACACAATTTATAACCAAGACAACTGGTTGCAAAGTTTTTGTAATTACCTATATAGAAAGGTTGTCCTATTTCTTTCAAGCTACCTGTGTATGATTTCCTAAAGGATAGATTTTGTTGACAACAAGGGCCTCTCTCTCCAGAAATAATCAGCAGGAGGCGGCCCAGCTGTTGACCTGTAGATGTTGATTCAGATAGCACGGCCCTACAATGTATCCTTGTAAAACCGTGTAATGCACTTCGACACTAAGCTTCTAGAGCTGCATGTATATAGTACTCAGTGGAGTGCCAGTCGGCATCCCAATTTCTTTGTGCAGGATTATTGGGGGGAAATCATGATTTTTGATATTTTAGCGAACTGGACACTGCAAAACAGCAGAAAATCTATTTAGCCCCATCTTTCTCTTTTCTTACTCTCCACAGGTAAACTATAGGGGATAGTGTGATTTTGATCACAACATATGGAACTTCAGAACTAAAGATCATAAGCGTGTGGCTATATTGTAGCACACTCATCATTTGTATTACTATGTACTGATAGTCCATGTATATATCTGTATAAAATATCAGATACCGTACAGTTTTGTGAACAGAAACAAATATTTTCCACAAGTGTCCACGTGTAAATAACACACGCAATATGCATAACACACTCTTCTGTAGTTTGAAACATCACAGGATGGTGGAGCACACGGTTCTTATATAGCTATAGCTGTCATTCGTGGTGGCTCTGCGTCATGAAGAGGTAGAAGATGCCACGAATGATAAACCCTACACCACTTGTGAACAGTCCTATAATATGAGAATTAGAGACACAGCTTCCTTCACATATAATATATATACACGCTCAAAGTAAAACACCAACATTTAACAACACGTATTACATTGTAGTGAAAAAATACTCACCAATCCATATGACGAAAATTCCTGCAATATAACGAAAAGATTGTTAATAAAATCTTAAACTATTATAGCCCCTACATAACGTAGCTATGGCTTTTATTAAAAAAACTCCTGTACTTCAAATGAACAAAAATTAAATTCGGCATGTGTTGCATAGACCTCGCCTTATCCATGTGCTCTATCTGTCCACACTGCACGAGCAGTGGAGCGGAGCTAATGTTGCTCGCCACACACCAGAGCAACAGTTTTCTTTGGGTCCCTGTGTGTTTGCACCGTTTCACTCTCTGCTCAGAACACGTTGGCTTAGCCCATGCACACTGCTCAAACACTAACACAGCCATTACACCTGTAAACACGCACACACAAAATTTGCTTGAGTCCAACCCTTCCATTTATACAGAGCCTGCCTATCATAACAACCTACCACTGCATGCAGTAACTCACCTCCATGCTGAGACGTCCAGGCAATGGTGGCAGTAACAGCCTGTATAGGAACACATATATACTCTCATTGAAAACCCCCCTACACAATGCACGCACGTCACAAAATGTTGCTGTTGCTAGTTCATTATCTTAATGGCAAGTGTTTCCCTCCTGTGAGTCTGAGTGGACAGGTGGGCAGGGGTAATTCAATATAATACATAATCCTTCTGCGGAGGCTTTTATAGGGCTTCACACAAGGCCAGGTTGATAACACTGTGTTGATGTGAATCTGGGTAGTAGGCATTGTCAGTACAACCAGTTGGGGTGACTTCTACAGCTGTCCCAAAAACATGTCATGGGAGGATAATGCTGATGCAGTGTGGGGGGTGGAGACAGAAAGATACAGGGGATGTAGATTTTTACATGCTTGGTACAGAATGAACAGGACCTAATCACACAATCATGTATGTCTGTCATTATCAGATTGTTGTGTGGTGACTTGAACCCTAGCCAGCTTGGCTCGGGTGACTGGACTATGTACAGGTATATACATATATAGCTCCAAGTTCATAGTTTTTCCCTCTGTGCTCGAATCAGGATTGTGGAGTAATAAAGCACCATTGCATTTACAGTTGTGTAACCTGAGCCTCTTGGATTGAGTGGGTTGGCAAGTGATACGTGTGTGTGTGTGTGTGTGTGTGTGTGTGTGTGTGTGTGTGTGTACCGTGATGATGATGGAGATCAAAATGAAGAGAATCCCGACGGTAAAGCAGACTCCGGCCCGGTACCTCATCCAGCTGCTATACAGGTAAGACCTGAGGCAGACACACACAGACATGGCACGCTAATACAGAGCAACTCTGCAAGAGATCGAGACGATAGGCCTACCTCCCTCTGCAATGTGGACATCTAGCAACGGCTGCATTTGAAGGCCACTGCAGGAAAATAGGATTATACAAAAAAAACTCTTGTGTATACGGCATATGAATAATTAATAATGACACTTTAAATAAAAAGCCACTATGCTGAGAATTAAACCTGGTATGAAAGAGCATTCACCACCATAGCACAGACTGCACCAAAGTTCCTATTTCAGATTCTACATGATGGATACAGTGATGCGTGTGTAAGGGAGTGAGACTTACCAAGATGGAACGATGACATCTACCACAGACAACTCGCAGCCGGTCCGTGTTCACCGGCCTCACGTGCACTGTCCCAACACCTATCGTCCGTTTACTGCAGAGTACGGGTGTATACAGCAGCAGGTATAGACACAGAGTCAGTGGAAGAGGCTGTGGCTGTCATTACCAGTTGTCCCTCGGGCAGATGACCCTACTGGCAGTTTCAGAGCACGTCAGGAGGCAGTTGCAAGGACATCGGACATACTTCTTGCCCGGCGGAGGAGGGGCAATGGGCTGGAGTTATATATGTAGGGTGAGAGGAAAACACAGAATAAGGCCTTGGTCACTCACGGTGGCCTCTCGGCAGTTGGAGCACTTGACCACCCTGCTCTGTGTGCCTGGAGCCACGTGAATGACATGTTGACACACACGGCACTGGACGAATAGACTCTGTCCTGATCCCGGCATCTGGGAAAGAAAGAAAGAGAGAGGAGTTACGTTTGGAGTTTTAGTACAGGAAACTCACTTGTGTGGGAGGGGCATAGGGAGGAGGCATGCCAGAATTGGCCACTGAAGGAGGAGCATATGGAGCTGTGTGTGTATAGGAGAGTTACAGAGAGTTGGGACAGCCAAGGCACATGCACGTACATGGAACAGAAGGTTCTTCGTAAGGCGGAGGTTGGATGGGCGGGGCAATGGGCGGGGCTTCTGCTTGGATGCCGCCAGCGGCCGCATTCAGTAAAGGCTTCTTCTCGTCGTCCATGGTTCCACAGGAACGATCGATAAACCTTCTATATGTCCACTAGATCCTCAGCTGGTCGCACAGTAGCACTGGGAGATAAAATACTCGTCTCTCCCTTCAGGATACTCGCTGCACTGACTGTTTACTCTTCTCTTTACTCCAGTAGTTCACCCTTTCTCTCTGGGAAGCGGGTCGTGGATCCACAAAGGCCCACGCGACAAATAGGACTTTTAGTGGCGTAGCGTTGGGTCTCTCATGCACAGCACACTCTTTACTTTCCTATCTCTCTTTGTCATGCATCATGTCATGCATCATGTGATGCATGAGCAATTCCGCGTGAGTATTACGTCATTAATTTCATGCTGGGGGAGTATTCATGTTCAAGGGATTTATGGTATATATACATGGTGTACACAGCAGTTTATACTCTGAAAAAAGCTGCTACTTTCCATAGGTGTTCTCATGCTTGTAGCCTGCTACGTAAGAGGTAAGATTGCTGGCTGGAGAAGGTGTCATGGCTGCTCCTTTTGCCGGAGCATCTCTCCCGTCTAGGCCCTTCCCCCTGCCGGTTTCATTGAATCTGTGCTTGTGGGCACCCGTGTACTTGCTGGTGTCGGTCAGCCTGTCGTAAATGTCTCCCTGAATGAGACACAGAGTGTACCATGCGAGTCGTGGTACAAATTGTTCTTATACCTTTGGCTTGGAGGCGGGGCTGGATTTAGGACTGCTGGTCGCCACTGCCGAGGTCTTTGTTTTAGTGCTGGGTTTAGCTGCAGGGGACGAGGCTCCGGTTTTTGACACTACTCTTGGGCTTGACTTTGCCACTGCAGGTGATTTCTGTGGGCTGGACTTAGTAGCTGTGGATTTTTGTGTCTTGGGGCTGGCACGTGCCTCTGCGGCTGCCTTTGCCTTGGCTCTCGGCCTCTCTTTGGCCCGTTCGCTATCCAATGCATCCAGTCCAATCAGATTACCAGACACATACGATGTCTGAGCGCTGACCAAAGCGGGGATGTGTCCTGGTCCTTTTGCAACCGAGTCTCTCCCCTCCAAACCCTTCCCCTTCCCAGACTCATTGAATCTCAGCTTGTGAGAGCCAGTGTATTTGGAAGTGTCTGTCATCCGATCGAGAACAGCATTTCCCGCCACTTTCTGCAGGAATACAATGCACAGAGCATCAGTCTAGTGCGTAGTAAGTAATAGCTATATAGGCATTACAGTTGCTCCCGGGTGAGTGGTTGGTGTGGTCAGTTTGGACTGCAGTTTCTGCATGGCTTTTGGGTCTCCAGGGTATTTCTTCTCACTCAGCATCCTCACGGCTTGCTCAAACTGCTCCAGTGTCAGCTTTCTTTCAGCCTTCCTGCAGTACAGGTGTTTGTGGGACGTACTTATGCTTATCCAGATCTGGCTCTTTCCAAGCATTCTTTTACATTTTACAGCAGACAAATCGCAGTATTATGCTCTTACGGCTTGGCCTTCGTAAAGATAATGTCCACGTCGGTCGGCGTCAGCTTCTTGTCCAGAAGCTTACAGTCCCGGCACATCTTGGCGAACTTGGCCCCGTCCATCGTCAGCGGCAACGAGTCCTTGTCGCCGAACGAGCAGTACTCACGGAAGGCGTCCTCCAACGACAGAGCCATTGGTCAAATATCCGAGCTAGTCCACGCCCGATCGCAGTAACCACGGTGGGGTTTGTTTGTGCGCCTTCGTCTGGGGGGATACCCCTTTACAACTCACACGCATGCGCACGCTACAGCAGTTGACGTGTGTATGTGGCCGGGCAGACATTACGAAAAGTGATATTGGTGGCATAATGACATAATTGCAACAGCACTTGGGTATATATGTGTATTGATTATAGCATACTGCTGAAAGAGTCATTCGTCAATGTTGTGCCGAGGCTTCAAGATGTTGTTCTTGGACTGCTTTATGATACCCTTGAGTCTCCTCCTCGAGACAGACGGAGTGTTCTCCTCTCCTTCGTCCAAAATCCTCAGCAGCTCCTCCCGCAGGAGCTCAAACTGGGCCACGGTGCTGTCAGTCTCCCCCTGCATCCCACCCAGCTGCTCCTCCGCCTCACCCCTCTTCCGTTTCTGGTACCGCAGCTCGGACTTGACGCTCTTCAGCTCCTTCTGGGTGCGGTAGAGCTCGTCTTGAGCCTTGAGCAGCTGCGACCGGGTCTCGTCGTAGCGATCTTGCAGAGGCCGACGGTCTTGAACCAGCTCGGCGTGGACCATCTGCAGCTCGTTCAGCTGCTTCTGGAGATCGCGGATTTCCGACTCAGTCCTGATTTCGGCCTCGCGGTAGTCCTCACACTTGGCCCTCAGCTCCCCGCATTTCTTGTTGAGGGACTCAATCTCTGCTCTGAGGGAAGCCTGCTGGTCTGCGTTCAGTTTCGTCAAGAATTCGAGCTCTCCCCTCGCTGATGTGACAGTGTGATCCCTCTCCTTTACCTCTCGCTCCAGCTGCTGGATTCTGGCGTTCGACTCGTGAGAGGAGGACACGAGTTCGTCTACCTTCTCCACCTGAGCCTGCAGCTTCCGATTGAGCTCCCTGTTTGACGTCTGGAAGGATTCGTAGCGCTCCCTCCTCTCCCTCAGACTCGATCTGAGAGACGAAATCTCCTCCTTGAGCTCCCTCTCCCGACGTTCTCCCTCGCGTGTGAACAAGTTGGCACGATCAATTTCATCCTGGAGTGCCTGCTGTTGCTGGGAACAGTTCCCGTGTTCCTCCTCCAGCGAAACAATCCTCGACATGATGTCCCGGGTGCTGGATTCGTAGCACGAGGCCTCCGTCTGGAGAGTCTCAATCTTGGCGTTTCTCCCCGCAACCATTTCGGAGAGGGTCGAGACCTGCGACACGAGGTTGACATTTTCGCTCTCGACGAGCTTGCGGGCGTAGCGGGACTCTGAGAGCTGGGACTCCTTTTCCAGGAGAAGTGCCTGTACGTCGTGGTACTTCTGTTGGAGCTCGTCCAGCTTGTTAGAGTTTTCGTCCCTCGTGGCCACGACCAGTGTTGTCTCGTTGTGGGCATCGCTGAGTTTCGTGCTCAGGTCAAAGTTTGCCTGCTCCAAATCCTCCAGTTTCTGCACCAGTTCCCCGACCTCTGCCTCAAAGTGGCTCTTGCCACTCTTGATGTTGGCCAGCTCCAGTTGGAGCTCCTCCATCTGCTCGGTGAGGGAGATGCATCGGGTCTCTTTCTCTCTCACGGCGTCCGCGGCACTGCTGAGTTCGTTCTCCTGCCTCCTCAGCTGATCCTGGAGGTTTCTCACTACTCCCTCCTGGCTCTCGGCTCTCTCGCAATGCTCCTGCTTGCTGTGGGTGAGCCACTCAATCTGCTCCATCGTCTGCTTCTGCTCTCCCTCTAGCCGGTCGCACTCCTCACGCAGGAGAGCGTTCTCCTCGGTGACTGCAGCCAGTCGGTCGCTGAGCTCGGATACCTCCCTAGACAACCCTGACCCGTGCTCCTTCTGCTCCTGCAGCTCTTGCTGAACCAATTCAACGCGTGCCAGCTGCCTCTTTAGAGCCTTGTTGGCTTTCTCAAGGAGGGAGTTCTTGATGTGTTCCTCTTCCAGTGCCTGCCCAGCCTCTCCCAGCCTCTCCTCCAGCTCCCTGCGCTCTCCTCTTATCCTCTCCAGCTTCTGCTTGTAGACAGCAATGGCCTCGCTCTCCTGCCTCTGTTGGCTGAACTGGGCCGTCTTTGAGCTGCGGTTGTCGGCTAATTCTTCCTCTAGGGCCCTCAGTTGTGAGGTGAGCGTTGCGATCTTGCTCTCTGCCTGCACCTTCCATTCCTTGAGGTTCTTGGCCTTCTCCTGCAGCTGACGGGCAAACTCCTCGCTGGACTCCGACCGCCTCTTCTCCGTCTCCAGCTGTTCCTCCAGTTGGCTGGTTTGAGATGCCAACTGAGACAACTCCGACTGAAGACTCGAAATCTCTTGCTCCAGTTCCTCCTGTTTCCTTTGACTGGTCGACACGGTGCTGAGCTTGTTAGAGAGAGATGCCCGTGTTTCTTCCAGTTTTGTCTCCGTGTTGGTTTTCTCAGTGAGGATGCGGTCGAATTCGGCCTGTAGCTCTGTCAGCGACTGCTCGATCTCCTTCTTCTCCTTCTTGACCGTGGCGGATTTCTGAGACATTAGCTGGAAGTTGGTCTGCATGCACTGGAGCTCCTTCTTGAGTTTTTCGTTCTCTGTTTGGACAGACTCCAGTTTGGTCTCGCCCGGTATGGGACGGGCAGGGGTTGACGGGTGTGGGCACGTGTGCGGACGCCTGGTGGGTGTGGACGGTGCAAGTGGTCCGCCCGTGGCACTATTCGCTTCTTGTGGACCTTTTGCAAGCTGGTGTTCCAGGCTCTCGCACCTTTCCACTAGCTCCTGCTCTCTGTTTTTTAGTGTCACATTCTCCTCTGACAACTGAGCAACACTCTGCTTCAACTTTAAGGATATTAAAAAAACACGGCAGTAAAACGGTGTTTCAAGGGACAAGTTTGCACACCTTCATAAGGGCCTGGTTTAGGTTGGCCAGTCTCGAAGAGCCTTCCCTGCTGGTCTTTGTCCTTTGGTCTTGCAGTTCTGCCGTGTGCTTCTCGTTCTGGTGAAGCTGCTCCTGCAGGGCCTCATGTTGATCTGTCTTCTCTGCCAACCTAAAAATAAAAACAGGAGAACAGTTGCATGAACATCCTGCATCCCGGAATGAATTTTCGTGCCCCTTACTCCCAGAACTTTTCCCCAGAAGCTCACTTGGTGCTGAGTGATTTGATTTCCAGCTGCAGGTTGCTGACGGTGATCTTGCTGGAGGCGGCCTGGTCTCTCTGCGTCCCCTCCAGCTTCTCCAGCTGCTGCCTCGCCTCACGTGCCGCAGCCTGAGCCGCCTCTTCGGCCATCTCTAGCTTTTCCAGCTGGCACTTTGTCTCCTTGAGCCGCCTCTGGTGCTCTCTCAGGCCGTTCAGCATCTCCACTTTCCTGCGGTAATGTGTACAAAAGGTTTCCAGCTTGCACAAACATAAAAAAGAGTGCAAACCTGACGCTTGTAGCTTTCAGCTCATCCTCTTTGCGGGACAACTCGACTTCCGTGTCGGTCAGCCGTTGGGAGAGCGTCCTGTTCTCGTCTTCCAACCTCTGTAACTCTCTGTGGGAAGCCATAGCTTTTCACGTTCCTCACAAAAAGAGTCTGCTCGTCTCGTGGGGCAAAATTTAAATTTTGAAGCGACCAATCAGAATCGGGAATTGATACCCACGTGTGTTTGGTGCGCGTCTTTTAGAATAAAGCCTTCGAGCGCAGGGGACAGGAGAATCATGTCGAGTTTGTGGTTGCCGCCTACGATTGAAGACGACGAAGAGGTGGATGTGGATGTGGATGATTCCGACTCAGAAGAAGAGCCATCTTCAAAAGACAAGGGGAGAAAATCGGCAGGCAAGCGGCAACAGACGTCGATCTTTAGCGACGATTTTTCGTTCCCTGCGGAGACTGGCGTGGGCGGTGGGGGTATGGCAGAGGGAGGATGGACCGTGGAAGAGGAGGTCTTGGGATGGGCAGAAAAGAAGAGAGATTTAGTAGTCACTTCGCTGGACTCGAAAATACTACGTACAATCGAGCGGAGAAAACTAAAGGTCCACCTCCGTGTTCTAGTAAATTACGGTACGTGGATCAGTGGTGGTGTCTGTGTACACAGGCCGAAGAGAAGCGAGAGCTGCAGAGGGAGAGAGGAGGGGAGGAAAGGGAGGGAGAGGGCGACGAGGGAGTCATGGAGGAGGACTCTATGGTCCCAACAGTTGTCAGTGGTGGTGGGAGATGAGCCACCTGATCCAGAGGAGATTGATGTTGAAAGTGAAACCAACTCAGTAGGTGATGATGCCTATGAAGAGGTCAGCACAATGCCGAATGCACGGAATATTTTTAAGGTTGTTGTTTGTGTGATGTCCAATTGTGCAAGACGGAGTTCAAAAAGTTTACTACTATGGTATCTTAATTATTTTTTTCTTCCCATTCGGGTGCTAATTAGGGTTTTTTTGAAGAGGCTCCGCCTCCACTGTCGGATGTAAATTTCACCGATATGAACCTCTCCCGTCCACTACTGAAGGTACATAGACACGTTATGCCTTCACTCACTGCAGACTATATATCATGTGCAGTATATTTATACTGCTGGCTGGAGTGTTGCTATAATGACCTCGTTCCATGACAGGCGGTACACAGTGTCGGCTACGAGAACCCGACACCCATCCAGGCAGCTACTGTCCCATTGGCACTGCTGGGAAAAGACATCTGTGCCTGCGCTGCCACTGGAACCGGTCCGAAATGCTCATCTCTGTACATCCTCACGAAACGAGAGATCGAGAGAGAAATAGAGCAATGAGAGAGCAGTACAAGAGAAGAGAGTAGAGAGGAAGATCATAGAAGTAAGAGAAGCAGGCAGATGACGCTAGCGAGGAAGACCAGAGATCATATCGATCTCTTCCTCCCTCTCCTCTCTCTCTCTTCCTCCCTCTCCTCTCTCTCTCTTCCTCCCTCTCCTCTCTCTCACTTCCTCCCTCTCCTCTCTCTCTCTATCCCTTTTAATGCCCGTCCCTCCAGGGAAGACAGCTGCATTCCTACTGCCCATTCTGGAGCGACTCCTCTTTCGACCGGCGCACACACAAGTCTCCCGTATACTCATATTAGTGCCCACCAGAGAACTGGCTATTCAGGTTTGACTACATACCATTGTACTACTGTCTTTGCGATCATCTTAGAGCTAAACTTGTTTGACTTTCTTCTACAGGTCCATTCTGTGGGAAAAGCTCTGGCTAAGCACACCAGTGTCGAATTCTGCCTGGTAACTGGTAAGTTTTCAAATAATTAGCCATTTTAGCCTCTGTAATTATATACATACAGTTTAGAGTGATAGACCTTGGGAAAGGGGAGGGGTCCATAGCCGATGGTGTTAAATTGTACATGCCTTTGATTTTTTTATTACCTGGGCAGTTTTATCAGTGTATCCATGTCTTGTGTTTCAGGCGGGCTGGATAGTCGGGGGCAAGAGGCGATGCTTCGGAAACAGCCAGACATCATTATCGCCACTCCGGGGAGGCTGGTGGATCATCTCCACAACGCTCCCTCCTTCAATCTAAACACCGTTGAGATCTTAGTCCTGGACGAGGCTGACAGGTGTGAGTGCAACACGGCATTTTGCGATATTGCATCCCTCAAAAAGTTTACGCCCTACGTTATGGAAAATGGGAATGAAAACATTTTTGTGGAGAATTTCAAAGGCAGAAACCATCCTTCAGCCCCAAAAAGATTTTTGAGGGAATTATAATGTGTACAGGCGCATATTTTAGTCAAATTTTCTCGATTTTTTGATGTGGCTGAAACTTTACACCCTCTTGTATCCTCCCTCTTTCTTCACTCCACCAGAATGCTGGACGAGCATTTCCACGACCAGATGTGTGAGATAATCCAGCACTGCCCCAAGAGCCGGCAGACGATGCTGTTCTCTGCCACCATGACGGACAAGGTGGAGGAGCTGGCCTCGGTCAGCCTCAACCGCCCCGTGAGACTGTTTGTGGATCGGAACACGGACACCGCGGAGAACCTGCAGCAAGAGTTTGTGAGGATCAGGAGCAAGAGAGAGGGAGACCGAGAGGCCATTGTCACAGGTGTGTATTGACACGAGGGGATCATGTGAGAGTCATGTGGTTATCATGTGATCTGTCGGCTTGTTGTTTTTACATCTACTCCATTTCCCAGTTGTCAGCTTTTTGTAAGTCACTATTTTTGAAATGTCACCACCTCAGCTTTGCGCAATTGATGTCATGTGACAGTCGTGTGTCTATCACATGATTTCTCTCCCCCACCGGTTGTGCAGCTCTGTGTAGTCGGACATTCAAGACCCAGTGTCTGGTGTTCCTGCAGACCAAGGCTCTCGCTCATCGCATGAGAATCATCTTTGGCCTTCTTGGACTCCAGGCCGCTGAACTCCATGGCAATAGGACACAACTACAGGTGAGAGGATCACATGAGTATCATGTGACTTTCACACTATCATGTGATGATCACATGAAGGTAATGCACCTGTAAACCTGGACTATCTATCATGTGATTACCACATGAAGAGTAACCTTGCATCATGTGGTCATCACACCCCTATCATGTGACTGTCACATGAGGAGGTAGTTTTCTATTGCAGAGAATAGAAGCTCTCAAGTTGTTCAAGGAGAGAAAGGTAGATTTCTTGCTGGCGACTGACTTAGCAGCTAGAGGGCTGGACATTACTGCAGTCAAAACTGTTAGTCCAACACTTGGCAAACAAGGTGTACTTCTTCTGATTCTGTGTGTCCGTCCCTGTAGGTGATAAACTACAACATGCCCACAACGGCGAAACAGTACATCCACAGAGTGGGCCGCACTGCACGAGCCGGTCAAACTGGAAGGTATGTACATCTGCACACATTACCAGCTGTGGGATGTGGGTTAAATCTCGGTGGAAATTCTGATTAAATACCACGTGATGCCAACATGTTAGGGAACTCATTTCGTGTACTTGCGTGCGTGTGTGAAGATGGGAGTCTGCAAGATAGAGAGGCGTGATAGGGATTTGTGTATAGTGCAAAATTATTTTGCTATTCCACAATCTAACTATATACTGTGTATTAGGGAGAGTTGGTTTGTCATTTCGTTACGTACGTGGCTACATAAAGCAGCGTGTATCAAAATGCAATTTTCAACAACAACTATTTTTGCAGGTCCGTATCTCTGGTAGGGGAGGGAGAGAGGAAGATGCTAAAGGAGGTGGTCAAGACGGCAAAGGTGCCTGCAAAGAGCAGAATATTACCGCAAGACGTCGTGGTGCGGTGCCGGGACCGAATACGGAAACTCGCGCCTGAAATCAAAGCCATTCTGAAGGAGGAGAAGGAAGAGAGAGAGGTATATACTGTACGGTTGGAAACTTGAGGGAGAAGACTTAGCATATTTGCCCATGTATGAAATTTTTGGGCTAGGGACACATTGGCAACCTGCCGAGGTTTTTTCTCTTCGTCCCTGAATGTTCTCCCTATGTTTACTGCTAGAACAGTGAAGTAGTGGGAACAGGGATATAAAGTAAAGTTAGACTCGGGATGGGATGAGGTTTGTGTTGTGATGGCGGCTGCAGTTGAGAGTGACTGAGATGGAGATGAACAAGGCTCGGAACATGCTGGAGCATCAGGCGGAGATATTCAGCCGACCTCCGCGGACCTGGATGCAGCAGCAGTCGAGCGCGTCCCGACTCGGAAGGAGAGCTCCTCAGTCCCAGCAGCCCGCCGGCGACCACCAGCCACAGATCAAGAAGACAAAACACGCAAAGAAACCTGCTAAAGACGAAGACGTGAGGAGACTTTTTCTTGAAGGAGAGCCAGAGTTCAGGACATCTTGTTATATAGGACAGCCTTAATTTAGGACGCCTTGTTAATTAAATTAAGTTTAGGACACCTTGTTAATCAGGACAGCCTTAGTTTAGGACACATCTCAGTAGCTGGTATAAGGTATGGGCCTCTTCTGTCCAGCCAAAGGAAAAGAAACTGAGGCTTGAGAGAGAGTACACCTCCAGACAGGCAAAGAAACAACGGCGACCGAAAAAGCTCTACAAAATGGCCCCTGGTGGGGAGAAGAACAAAGGTAATGGAGGCAGAAACAGCAGGTTTGGACTCTGGTTAGTGTTCGATTGATGATTTTTTGCAGGTGTGGCGAAGCCACGGCCCGTGATCAAGGGCTTTGAGAAGGAGTTGACCGACACAAGCAAGCAGGCGGTGCGAGGTATTAGAAAGTAAGTGGGGAGAAAAGAGAATGATGACGATTTTCATGTTTTCCCGCTCTATTGCTAGAACCGCGTTCAAGAGTAAGCCGAAGGAGAGTGCGTTCAAGTCAAAGAGGAAGTAAAAAAACTTTCGGTTTACTCTAACTGAAAAGTTATCCGTTTTCTGAATTGCAGATACAAAAGGAGAGAAGATGATTGATTATGATTTGACATCCGTTGGCAATCTGCGCATGCGTAATTAAGTGGGCGTGGCTGATTTATACGCGTCGTTTGAACGCGTCGCGGGTCAATGAATGAACACGAGTTGGGGCTTTATAACCAGCTTCCTGCAAACGACGCGGAGAATGGCTTGTCTGCTGTTGCTGAAATCAGGAGCAAGAGCGCCGCAGGCGTTGCCGAGATTACGAGAACTGACAAGAGCCGCGGGCGTGTTGAGCGCGTCAAGGAGACGCGTACTCCTTGGAGGTGAGCGACACCTTGTGACGGCAGCAGCGGGCATGGCGGAAAGAAACCGGTTCGTTCTGAATCTGGAGACCATCAATCCCAACCTGAAGGGCGTGCAGTACGCCGTGCGGGCCCAGTCCTGGACAGAGCCATGGAAATCGACAAAGATTTGGCCAGGGTGAGACGTTGTCTGATTACTCCACGCAATCACGCATGCTTTGAGCAGTAGCGTCGTCGTGGAAATACGATACCATTTTGTTATTGGCTTCTTACCAAGTCGACATCATTTCCAACTACTAATCTCAGCATTATACTTAGCGATACAGTGAAATTTCCCATAAAACTTTCACAGATTTGAAATTTGCAGTGAAATTTGCGAATGTTTCCTGCTCTTGCACGATTATTGTCGTTTTGCATTGCAACACGTCACAATTTAATTTCACATCACAGTTCATTTCCACCTTCACCCTCCTCTATGTTTGCATGCAGGGGGTGGGTGGCTACCCGTTCAAGGAGGTGATCTACTGCAACATAGGAGATGTCCAGGCCATGGGAAACCAGCCCATCACGTACATCCGCCAGCTCATCACTGTCTGTCTCAGCCCCAAGAAATACTTTGAGGCCGGCTCAAACGGACTACGAGAGCACGGTAGCTCCCACGTGCGAGAGGTCGTGGATATACTGGCGGAGGAGGTGGGGAGCGAGGAGGAGAAGGAGAGGCTGCGGCAGTTGGTCGAGGGGTTGTCGCCCGCGAGGGAGGGGAGAGCCGCGGATGTTCTGGACGAGATCCCGAGAGACGTGAAGGAGAGAGCCAACGTCCTTCTCAACAGTTTGGGAGGTCGGAGTCTGGGTATGACGTGCGTGTTATGATTATACTCGGGCACCGACCCTGTTTCTCTCCCTTCTCTTCCCTTCCTCTCCTCTTACTCTCTTCTCTCCTTCCTCCTCTCTCCTATCATCTTCTTTCCTAGCCCCATCCCCTATAATATATAATAAACTATTCATTTGCTCTTTACTTGAAGAACCATATTCCATGCCAGTGACTGTGTGCAGTGTTCTTGTTGCAGGGTCATACACAGACTCGCAGGGAATATCGGTCATAAGACAACACGTTGCCGATTTCATCACCAGACGGGACGGCCCGCAGTACCCCGCCGATCCCTCCAAGTTGTTTCTCCTCAACGGCGCGACGGAGGGGATCAAGGCCATGTTCTACATGTGCATGGACGTCAATGTTCCCTGTGGAGTCATGATACCCATCCCCCAGTACCCCATCTACAGCGCCAGCATCGCAGAGTTCGGAGCTGTCAAGGTGAAGAAATGCAGTCAGACAGTGTTATTACATTCCTTCTAGTGTATTACTGTGTGTGGAGCAGAACCAAGCGTCCTTCACAGGGTGTCCTTTTTGGAGGATTAGTTGTAGACAGCTTCATACGTAGCAAAGTGTGCAGCATGTCCAAATGCTCACAAGACCTTTTGTATTGCTGTGTGACTAGCAAATGTACGGCGACACAGGTGCAAGTGAGAAGACAGCCCTTTCGTAAGAGCCCCTCACGTGACGCATCGTGTCCCACTCTCGGCTTTGTAGAATACTGTGTAGAATATGGACAGGGCAAGATGCCCATCACTACCAGTATTGCAGCATGTATGAAGTGTGATCTGTGGTGTTGTGTGTGTGTGTGTGGTGCTATAGTTGGAATACTATTTGGACGAGGAGAAGGACTGGTCGGTAGACGTGGAAGACATGAGGAGGAGAGTGAGGGAAGCTCGCAGCCACTGTCAGCCCAGGATACTCGCCATCATTAACCCTGGAAACCCAACTGGTGGGTGTTATCCCTTAGCTACCATTCTACCACCGTACATACGTCCGAAGGCTATGCCCCTTATCTATGTGCTTCCATATGTATGTGTCGTGTTCATAATGCACTTTTGCACACACAAAGCCCACTGGATAAGGCACAGTACGAGTATAAAAAAACCAGTAAGAAAGGAGTTCAAAGAGCCACCAGGCTTAAGATGAGCGTCTGTAGAGAGTTGAAGTAATGCTGCTGGAGTAATGAGACAACTGGAGTGAATTAAAACCACCAAAGTGGATGCACACTAACCGTCCTCCATACATCCCTCCCATTATCCTTGCTCCAGGCCAGTGTCTTGCCAAGGAGAACATCAGAGACATAGTGGAGCTGTGTCGAGAAGAAGGTCTGGTCATAATCGCCGACGAGGTCTACCAGGAGAACATTTACGACGACGGCATCGAGTTTACGTCGTTTCGGAAGGTGGTGAAGGAGATGGGGGCGGACGACGTCCAGTTGGTGTCGATTCACTCCGTCTCCAAAGGATACACGGGAGAGTAAGTTTGAAATGGACTCAATAATGGTAGTGAGGAAGAAATCCACTGTTTCAGGAATGGTAAAGTTTTCTCAACAATTTGTTTTTTTTATTGGTGGGGGTTTTACAGTGTACAGTTGTGGTGTACTAGCAACAAGTGAAATTTTATCACAAATCTTTAGCCGTTATGTTTTCCAGCTGTACATGGTGCTCTTAGAATATCTCCCTTCCTCTCTCTCCTCTCTCTCTATCTCTCTCTTTCTCTCTCTCTCTCTCTCTCTCTCTCTCTCTGGTTACTGTCGTGAAATTTCTTGCCCCCCTTTGCAGGTGTGGGGTCAGAGGTGGCTATATGGAGCTGCTCGGTTTCGACGACGTAATGGACGAGATAAACAAGCTGTTCCGTACAAGCTTTGCCCCAACACCATGGGCCAGGTGGTCACTGACGCCATGGTCTACCCTCCAGACAAGGAGAGCCCTTCATATGAGCTTTACAAAGAAGTAAGTCCCCTCACCTTCATTCTCTCCCGTCTCTCTCTTTGGAACATCTGCACACTGTGTTCACGTAGCTAGTGCTGAAATACACTGCTACATCGTGCGCATGTCCAATGTATTCCCTCTCTCTCTCTCTCCTCTCTCTCCTCACTCTCTCTCCCTCTCTCTCTCTCTCTCTCTCCCTTCTGCCCCAGGAGAGGCAAAAGGCTCAGGTGTTGCTACGCAGGAAGGCCGACTTGGTCTACAAAAGGTTCAACGGCATCCCGGGAGTCAGCTGCCGCAGGGTGCGCGGTGCTATGTACGCCTTCCCTAAGATCGAGCTGCCCCCGGGAGCCTTTGAAGAGGCCAAGGTATATATATTCAACCACTTTATATACAAGACCTGTATTTTTAAGGTGACAATAATATTGAAGACTTCTGCTAAAAAGTTCATGCGCTTTGGGAAAAAATTTCATTAAGGCTTTGGACCTGTGTTGTAGTTTAACCCTTTGGACGCCATAGGTATCTCCTTAAATAAGCGCATGAAGTATTAGCGCCTAGTACTATAACCCCCATATAAATTTTATGGAGGCTCTGGACACATTTTATGTGTCTGCGGCTGGTTAACATGCATATGATGTTGCTTCCAAAGAGCCTTTGTAAAGTCATTTTCCATCTCTCTTTACCCGACTTCCCCTGTGTATACGTACCACGCCCAGAAACAGGGCCTGCCTCCAGACCAGTACTACTGTCTTCAGTTCCTGGAGAAGAAAGGGGTGTGTGTGGTCCCTGGCAGTGGGTTCGGTCAGAAGGAGGGCACCTGGCATTTCAGGTATTCCTCACATAAACCTCATATAATGGGTATATGCCCTCTTGTGGGACATTCTCAGCACTCATAGTCAGTGGTAACTATAGGGATTGACAAGGGTAACAAAAATACTATGTCTCTTAGTTGTTGTAAAGTCTTCCTGTGAAGTCTTCCTGTACTACAAGAATGCGATCTCAATGAAAGCTCTCTTCCTTCAATTCTTCAATGGCTACATCGAGAGGAAGCTAAATCCAGCAGGGTTCTAATCATTAGAGTACACAGCCTTTCGACAGTAGACAAAACTTGGGATCGATCAGTTTGCCATGCATCTCAATAATGTGTGTACGTAATAATAGGGGTCGTTTTCTCAGAGCCTTAATTCACAAATACCACCTCCTCGAACCACTGTGCTGCAGCAAACTGCGTGTGTGTTTTGATAACTATGGTAGGGCTAGAACAGTGCGCCAGGTGTGCAGTCGAATGCTCTACTGTTAGCCCCTCATGTGTTTTGATGGTAGGGCTAGAACAGTGCGCCAGGTGTGCAGTCGAATGCTCTACTGTTAGCCCCTCATGTGACGTGTGTAGCTAACAACGGTCCTGTGTTCTGCGTGAATACGTGTCAAGTCGCGATTCAAACGCTTGAATCGCGTGACACTGCGCAGGTGTGGCCGCGCGAACCAACATTCACGTGTCACTAGTGCATTCAGAGCCGACAGGGTGGCTATTCATTTCATCACACACGATATCGGCAAATTCCACCCCCATGACTCTATACTATTCATTTTGTCCTGTGACCTGTGGCATTATTCACGTAGTCCTTCTCCTGCAAAACGTTCGTTTCTGATCTATTACACTCCCATTGTGTTTTAGGACAACTGTACTGTGTCCTATAGGACGACGTTAGTCCATTTATCAGAAAACCACGTAGATATGTATGATATTTTATAAGCTATAATAATCACGTAGTGTGTGTGTCCTATAGGACAACTCATCTTGTGTCTTACGACAACTCCTGCATGTGTCCTGTAGGACAACTTATGAATGAGCTGTGTCCTATAGGACAACTGCCTGTATTAACTTCCACTCTGTCTGACCTATAGGACCACAATTCTCCCGTCAGAAGCAGATCTTGAAAAGATGTTGGACCATTTTGCCGACTTTCACATCTCCTTCACAAAAGAACACTCTTAGACCACGCCCCTCTCTCATTTTGACCACACCCATATCTTTTCTCAGTGATGTAATTGATGTCGTTATTTTCCGCATAACAGGTCATTCTCAGCAATGTTTTTCTGCATATTAGATTATTTATTTCATGGAAAAAACTTTTTTACACAACAATTTCATAAGATTGCGAACTGCATAGGACAGGTTAATGGTAGAATGGAAAGAGGGTGGGAGGGGAGGAGGAGGAGGAGGAGGAGGAGGGTAGCTATAGTGTTCACTGAATGCTGAGGCTGCGAGCTGCGTTGGAGAGGTTAGTTGCGTAGAGATGGAGGAGGGAGGGAGAAGGAGGAGAAGGGGGTGTGGTCTGTTGGAGAGAGAGGGCAGAGCGGAGATGAGTCAACTTCTCAGACAAGCCTCCAGTCCCTCGCAGCGTCTTCCGTATCTGCAAAAATAGACCAGAGCAGAAGCCTTCTGAACAACCAGTCAACTCATGGATGACTAAGTTCACAAGGTCACAAATAAAGAGAAACAGAAAGGTCCTCGTTTGTTTCATGAAAGTCTTGAACGGACAGAAGGAATGATACGAAGAGAAGAGCCTACACACAAGTTGTCTCTTCCTAGTTTGTACAATATATCCCCTCTTCCTCTGCGCTTCCCCTCGTCTCTCCTGCAACTGCTAACCTTTGCACAGTTGTGGCAGAGTGCCCAGACAGCAGAGGCAGTCACTGCTCTGGTCCACATATCCTGGTGAGGCTCCAGTCCACCAGCCAGCAGGCACAGAAACCTCTCTGTACACATGAGAGGAGGAGAGGAGAGTGGAGGAGAGGAGAGAGGAGGAGAGGAAAGCAGAGGAGAGAGAGAGGAGAGAGGAAGAGAGGAGAGGAGAGTGGAGGAGAGGAGAGAGGAAGAGAGGAGAGAGGAAAAAGGATTAGTATGCTGTATAGTGCTAAAAGGTTTCCGAAAGAGGACGCAGAACAGAGGATCCACTGCAAAACCAAAAAATCCAAGCAAAAATTTTCACGGATACAAAACTGTGAATATTGTGTGTGTGTCACGAAAATTTGGTGCTCAATGTTTAGCAATGTACCATTGTCCACTAGCAGAGTCTTGCCGGGTCCATAGAAAGAGAGGTTGCGGAGCGTCAGGAGACAGAGAGGGGGCCGGACCAGGTCTGGTCTCTGGTGCAGGTCCAGTAGCTTCTCCACTACTCCTGAGTAGAGAGAGGGAGAGAGATCACGGCGCAGAGAGGGAGATCACGGTGCAGAGAGGGAGATCACGGTGCGGAGAGGGAGATCATGACGCAGAGAGGGAGATCATGGCGCAGAGAGGGACTGCTCTAAACACTGACCTGGTAACTTTATGACGGCGTGTTGTCCATCGGAGGAGAGGGTGAAGTTTAGAAGAACGTTAATCCACAGAGCTGCCTCGCAGACACCGTGGGTCTGGGGTGAGGAGGAGGAGGAGGAGGAGGATTTAGGTGGGGGTAGAGAGAGAGAGGCAAAGCTCTCGAGCAACGCTGCCTGTTGGGAGAATGAAGGAGAGGAGAGAAGTCAGTGACACTATGAAGCATATCCGCGCACGACTACGACACAAATACAGTGGAACTTCCAATGAAAGGATACAATAGAGCAACCTCTCAATAAAAGACACACTTTAGAGTCTCAAACATTCACTTTTCTATTATCTCTGAAGAGAGGACAATCTCCCTATGAAGTGACAATATGCCTGGTCCTTTATGCAGCTGTACACATGTACACACCAAGAAGCTACGTCACCAGAAAACAAACTCAAACCTACCTCTTCAAACCCTTCCTGTTTGGATCTGGCAGTTACGTACCTCAGTCAATTATATATACAGTACTTCTTGTACTATTGTGTGGGTCCACTAATAGAATCATTATTGAAATGTCAAGCAGTTGTACCGACCGACCTTCTTGAGGACTCTGCGGCCCTCGGGGGAGAGGGCGCAGTTGGCGACGAGGGTCATGGAGGAGACTAGGACGGGAGAGAGCGGACTGGCGGCACTGCGAGAAGCCACGCAGCTGCGGTGGCTGGAGATACAGTGGGAGGCGTGACTTGCTATCCTGTAGAGAAGACTCTCGTTGCCTCTGCTCCCCGTGGCCAGTGCTGCCCGACCTGCACAGGAGAACAGGGAGAGAGGATTTACAGGTCACCAACACAAGCGCTGTCTATAGCACAAGAATTGGCGAAACGGTTTAGTCTCTGAGACACCATTATTATGTACAAGTCTGAGAAATGCACTTTTCGTACTTTTCACAAAATCAACTCCCAGCCGCGAATAAACAAGGAACTGAACATCTCCCACCACCACCACACACAGGCCTCTACCCTTCCTCCCATCGCACGCGCACACACGCACACACACACAGACCTCCGCTGTTCCCGGCAGTAAAGACGGTGAGAGTGTCCAGTACAGCTGCAGCCAGTGGTACACTGACAGTACACTGTGGCCACACGGCAGAGAGGAGGGAGAGAAGGCCACTCTCCAGGGCCACTGCCTTCAGCTGTGGAGACTGGTACAGCAGGCATTTCACGATGGCCAGCCTCTCACACATCTGGGGGACCTGACGTGGATCCTGTTTAGAGAGAGAATTACAACCATAAAAGCAACTATGTTTCCCTGAACACAGGCAAATCAAGCAACCCCAATTCATGAAGCTCTTCTCACTCTTCTTTCTCCTTCCTACAGTACGTAAGTCAAGCTTGAGCTGTTAAAAAAATTTTTTAAGCGAAGTAACAAATTTTTTCGGCTGCTGTTACATAATACTACGTAACCTTTTTCCTGGAGGCTGGTTTCTGTCTGTCAGTGATGGAGTCGATACAGAGGATCTGGGAATGCAGACCTCTCACAGCCTCCAGTGACGTCTCCAGCAACCCTCCTTCACACAAACATAAACAAACAAACCGTCAATTGGAGATTGCCAGTACAAAAACAGACTCTCGAAACGAACGACAAACAGCTGCTAAAAGGTGTCACTTAAAAAACTGTCCTTTAATTTGCAAAGTCACAGCAAACAATCTTGAAGTTTTCCCTTTCAAGAGCTTGTACACAGAAAGGAAGGACCTTTTAGTGCAGTCTGTTTAGCCGACTGACTCGACGCAAGGAGGAGACACAGCGTCAAGGAAACAAGCCCCACTCCCAAACCACACCCCTTTTGCCTCGTTAATTTGACCTCTGACCCTTCGTACACGTCCAACAGAGCTGCACACAACTCAGCACCAGACGATGATGGACAAGTAGCACTCGCACTTTCAACATCTCTGCTTTCACTGGGTGATTGGTGGGTGGGGTCGAGAAGGGAAGTAAGTTTCTCGTCGAAGGAGGCGTGGTTTAGGTCACGTGACGGGGGGTGGAGTTTGTGTGCGAGGATGGAGTGGAGGAGTGAGAGGGTGAGGGTGTGGAGGGAGGGAGAGGGGGAGGGGTGAAGGAGGCTCCACTGTAAGATTGCTGTGTGAAAATGGGAGAAATTCTTAGTTTGTCCACCATTGTGCTAACTTAAGGCACGCTAAGGAGCCACACTGCACAAAAATATAGACACACACACGCACACACATGCACACAGAAGATTCATCACCAGTGAAGCTATCCCAGTGAGAGACGAGAGAGGCTGGCACCAGGTGGACCAGCTCCAGCGGTGCCTTCTCCCACAGACACGCCAGCAGTCTCAGTAGAGAGCCACACACTCCAAGAACATCTCTCTCCCCTCTCACTCCTATATCACGAGAGAACATATACGTACATACTGTAATCGGGAGGGAGAACATTTGAAAAATAAAGCAGTTTTAATGGTTGTAAAGTGGGGGCCATCTGGTAAATATTTTTCCTTTGGTTTATGTATATACCCAATTTTTAATGTTCTATGCAGCGAGGTTTTTTTACCAAAATGGTTTTTTGTAAATGTGAATGAACAGTGTGTATTGTACTGTAGTATTGTGTGAGTTGTATGGAATTTTGAATCTCCACACCTCTTCTCCAGAGGACAAGTAATTGCGTCAGTCGAAGAGTGTTGTTCCCCAAGAGTAAGAGATCCCTGATGACCTTTGACCCCACGGCGACCGCAGCGTGGAGAAGGTCCAGGGCGGAGCGACAGAGGTGGAGGAGGGAGGGAGAGGGCGTGGCAGCCGACGAGAGAGGATCTGCCGCACTCGACATGACCGGATCACAGCATCTTATGGAGACACAGTCTACTGCATAACTGGAACATTTTGGCTTTGGTTGTTAACACTTAGCCAGCCACCGACAAATAAAATGTGCCCAGAGACTCCATAAGGCTATTATTTATTAATGGTTGTTTGTTTACTTGTTGTTGTTTACTCCCCTGAGCTGCTGCTAACCCGAGGATGATGTCGTCTCCGAGTGCTTCCAGTCTGGGGCACAGGAGGTCGGGGAAGGACAGGGTTAAATTGTAGGACAGCTGGAGGAGAGAGGCGGAGAGAGCCGGACAGTCTGGAGCCGAGGCGACCAGCAGCTGTACTGGAGAATGGTGCTTCAGGAACAGCTCCAGAGCAGCTGCCCCTGTCAGTGTTTGCTGGAGAGGAGAGCGAGGTATATAGCAGTAAACGCACAGAGCACAAAACCAGTGTGGCAAAAGCTGAAAGGTTGTAGCTACAAATGAAGCGGGCACTGATCCTGAAGCCCAATGCATCGGAACTGAGGCAACTAATACAAACCCACTGACAACTTGCTAGCTGAACTGAGGCTAGAGAATTGATCAGAAAAAGCCCCACATCATATCTAAATCTACTAAAAGTACCTGTTCATCTGTGAAGGAGAGTAGTAGGTCCCACAGACTGTCCCTATGACATGTCCCAGTCAATGCCACTAGCACCTTCACCGCCTGTGCCACAACATAGAACACACACACACTACAGTACTACTTCTGAAGGAACAAACCTTCTCATGCATGAATCAATAGGAAATTAGTATCTTTCTTGAGATAAAAAACACTTGTCCAATGGTGAAATCAGTTGTTTGTTGTTCCAAAACAAAAATTTCGCGATTCACTGGTAACTTCAAAGTACTTTAAACATGATGTGGTATCATTACCCTCGGCGCGCATGCGCAGCGAGGGTACTGTAGTTGGGTCTGTCAGTGTGTCTGTTACTCTCAATCTCACTTCTCGAATGTCTGTTCGTCTCACAAACGATACCATCTACCCAACGGGCGATGAAGGTCAGAAAATAAAGGCGGTTTTCTCTGAAAATGCTCCGTTGCAAAGCTAGAGCGCTTCCAGCATTGTATGGCTAATGCCGGTAGTCGCCATTTTATCGCTGGCGGATAATGCGCATGCGCTTATATTTAGCACAGGCTTACCTCGACCGGGTCCGCTTGCTCTGTCTATCTTGAAGGCACAAGAAGTCACAACGGATGGCGTGTATCGACTCTCGCGTGCTATCTACTACTGTAGCTAGCCCGTGTCAGACTCTCTGTGAGCTACTTCGCCGAGGGTTTGCACTTTAGTGCTTTTCATTACGTTCTGTATGTTGTACTGTATGCACAGATTGTTTGATTCAACTGTCCACAGTATGTCTAGGTATCTATCTCCTCAGAGTGGGCCAACCTGCTGGCGAACTAGCTCCGCCTCACTCCGGTCCACTGCCACACCCATCAGTGCCCCCCAGGGGCCTAATTTATCGTGGGGGGTCCACTGCCTCACCAGTCTCTCCCCCACCTCTCTGCCACCACACATACTGGCCAGGAGACTGAAGCCTGCGGCCCGAACCTGAAGATAAAGAGACCAAGCAGGGTGTCTGTATTTTGACATCACACCACACCTTTCCCTTTAGCTTTTACAGATACTATTAATTTAGGGGACATTGCTTTAGCCTGAGCCAAATTTTTGACGCATAATTTTCGTAGTTAAGTCTCAATCCCTGGAAAACAGGCAAATCTGTGAGTATATATTGGGTTTCTGCGAAATGAATGTTGCGGCCCATGCAAATGTGACACTGTACATACCAGAGGATCTCTATTGTGTGTGAGATGGTTGATCCATTGAAACCCACTGTTGGTGGACGAGAAACAGTCCGAGAGCCAGTTCTGTGGCCGGGACGAAAGAGTTGTTTCTGTCAGGCATCGTTATAGGGAGGGTGGTTACTTGGGGAAGTTGGCTGGTGGTGGCTGCACCTCGTGCGAGGAGGGAGAGAGAAAGGCTCGCTTTCTTTAACAGTCCATGCCCCATGAACGACGCCTGCATCTCTCCTCTTCCTGATACGACAGAGCATATCGTCTGAAAGAGAGAGGGAGGGAGAGACATTAATTAACTTTTTTGCACACCGGTATTTTTCTCACTTCTTTGAGGGAGTTTGCCAGAACTGCACAGATCTCGAGTATCTTTGGGTTTCCAACACTGCGACACAATCTGACAGAGACAGAGGAGAACGACGTAATCATACAAAAGAAAGAGAGAGGAAGAAGCGGGTGAAGTAAAAATAATATACTGAAATAAAAAGGCCTTGGCCGGATTCGAACCGGCGATCTCCTGTTTACTAGACAGGCGCTTTAACCGCTAAGCCACAAGGCCACTTGACACTCACAAAACTAATCAACCAAAGTGCCGTCTACAAACTCAGAATGGGCTGCGTTTCTACTACATGCTGCAGTAACTTTTGGAATATGCAAATGTGGTATACATGCAGCACAGCTTTAGCTTTTTAGTGTAAGACAGGTCTCATGCAAGACCAATACTGGTACGAGATAGGCAGGAACAAGTAATGCACAAATCCATGCACTGAGGGGTTTGTCTCAAAAGAGTTGTACCTAGCAGAGATATGATTGATTGCCTCGAGACAGCCGTGAAAGGAGGAGAGAGAATCGTGTTGGGTGACAGACAGGTGTGTCAGGCCCAGGGAGAGTGTGTGCAGTGTGGACGAGGGAAAAGGCGGTCTCAGTTGGTGAGCGATGGTTGGAGGAAGAGGGTGGGAGGAGAGGGAAGAGGGAGGTGTAGAATTGTATTAGAGCCCTCTCCAACTTCCTGCAATGGATAATTCATACACCATAGTGTCATGCCAATAATATCCATCAGTGCAGATTTTTTTCATTTAAGTCATTCCAAATACACACCAAATTTCGTAAAACTTTCCTGATGTTGGTTAAAAATGTATGTACACTGTGTGTACCTGTCTCTGGTGTGTCTGGTGTTGTGGTCTCTGTGTGTCTCCAGTAGGCTCCGGAGTGTCTGCAGACAGACCGACTCCTCCCCGGTTGTCTCCTCCCCCAGCCACCTCAGAAACACGGCTCCTCCAAAGAGCTGCTGCAGCTGACGAGTCACCTGACCCCCACCCCCATCATTACCGCCACTAATGCCCGGGTAACAGTCAGAGGAGCTCTGCCGGTGTCTGTGGGAGTCGTCCAGGAGTGTCGTGAGGTAGGAGAGGAGGTGAGAGAGGAGATCCATGTCTTGCTCAGTTGCTGGCTTCACCCGAAGAAACCTGAGAGGAGACGTCAGTACAGAGTCATCATATGGCGGGGAAATTAATTGAAGAACCACAAACTAGTATATAAGACCGTCTTGTAGGGGTAATTTTGTTTACTGACACCTAAACTTTCATACACAGAAGTCTCACAAACATTTAAGTGTTATCCTCGAATGTTGCTATATACATACTGCACTAGCAAATTTTTGGCAAGCGAAGCGAGTAGTAAAGTTTCTTTTAACCTTCCAAACACTTCTTCCCAGTCATTGCTACATGTCTCCTCAGTCTCACGACCGACCAGTGAGATGGCCGCCCCACTATTTGAGGCCACACTGTACTGGTGCTGGAGGTGGCAATACTGGGCGATGAGGGTCAGGTGATCCAGCCAGAACGAGACCTCGGAATGAGACCGGGCTCGCACGGAATCGGGACAGACACTCCCGCAGTGCCGACGGAGGCCACAGATGTCGGAGGCTCTCCAGGTCTCCCGGACGAAGAGAAGGTGAAGCAGGCTGTCTCGCATCTCCCTCTCCTCTCTCCTCCTCACTGGTGGCAGGAGAAATGGCGGAGTTGCTCCGTAGCAGTTTATCGACGTTGTTTTCGGACATGGCGAGATGGTAGAGGAGGGAGAGGGTGTGGGGGGAAGGGAGCTGAGAGGGGGTCAGAATCTGAGGGGTCTGGTGGGGATTTTCCTGTGCATACGACCCCACGGAACAGGTCAACTTCAACCTGACGAGAAAACAGGAAAAACACTTAATATGAATCTGTCGGTCAAGTGTCAGACTGTAAGTATCAAACACCTGTCAAGTGTTAATTGATTGTCGATACAAAGCTTTGTATAAAGGGTTGCAGTTATTAAGACGAAGAAAATACCTGCTGAGAAGGTGTTCAGGAACCTGCATGGTATAGTCACCAGTCCATTGAGATATGTGAGTGAACACAAGAGAGGCTAGTAGGGAGGAGGACGACTGGAGGAATTCTGGGTCACTGGAACTCTCCACAGTGGCTACAGAGATGGAGGGAGGGAGGGAGGGAGGGAGGGAGGGAGGGAGGGGAGGGCCACATCAGTAAAACAGATGAATAGCGAGTCATTAGAAAGACATATTATATCAAGGTGGTACACCCATGCTAGCTGGAGATGATGCACAGCTGGACAACTAACCTCTGAACAGTCCCAGAAGAAAACTGTCGTCTTTGCTAAGTTGACTTCTCATGTCGGAACTTGTCAGGGCCAGCAGTTGAAGGCACCGGACACACGCCTTCCAGAATCCCCCGCGTTCTTCATCTTCCTCTTCTCCCCTCCCTTCTCCCTCCCCTCTCTTCTCCTCACCCCCTTCCACCTCGTTCCCGGCCCTGGTTTGGTCCACGGGATTCAGTTTCAGCTTGAACATGTAGACAACGGTGGACAATGTGTCCTCTTCTAGTGCCGCTCTATGGAGTGATGCGTCTGTACGTAAGAAACCTCATCTATGATCTACGCAAGAAACACAAACACAAGCAATAATGTGTATACTGAAATTCAATTCATTTTTTGGCAAGCGAAAGTCCAAGTGATATTTGTGAATGCGTATGATTATTATACCTGCACCTATAGTATATACTAGGGTTTCAACGGTTTTGCATTTTCTGCAGGGACGTGGGTGAACGAAACGACAAACCAACCATCCCTAATACTTTGACTATATTTAGAGGTTGGAATAGCTACACTATCTCGTGGTACCTATACACATATTTATCTCGCCTTTTCCTTCATTACCACCCCTCCCGACAAGGGTTTGGACGGTTTTGCATTTTCTGCAGGGACGTGGGTGAACGAAACGACAAACCAACCATCCCTAATACTTTGACTATATTTAGAGGTTGGAATAGCAACACTATCTCGTGGTACCTATACACATATTTATCTCGCCTTTTCCTTCATTACCACCCCTCCCGACAAGGGTTTGAACGGTTTTGCATTTTCTGCAGAGACATGGGTGAACGAAACGACAAACCAACCATCCCTAATACTTTGACTATATTTAGAGGTTGGAATAGACAACACTATCTCGCTGTACCTATTCAGCTATTTATCTCGTTTCCCCCCCCACAACAGTATAGAAAAAGGTGAAGTGGTGCAGTGGAATGGTGCTTGACATACACTAGTTCGCTGATGTGTGTTTGTTCCAGATTTTGCTCTGCTCCATACATGCATATACAACAGATGCTACAAACTACATATGTATGCTGTGGATTGCTGTTGATTTCACCTGTCAGGAGCGTGGCCAGTTGTTGCAGAGCCGATCTCTTCAACAGGTCGTCCATTACTGGAGACCTCACAATCTTCAGCAACTGGACAAGGTCCTTTCTCTAAAAACACGCAAATAACTCCTCAAACCAATCATTTTCAAGTTCATATACTTTTCCAGTGGAACCCCTCTCAATAAGAGAAAACGAGGACATCGCTCTAAAAACACCTCACTACTAACAGACTCTTTCTTTCGTCCCATTGTGTCTGGATTGTAAGGGTTTCACCACTGCTGCTGACTAAACTCACTTCTAGAGGAGTCCTCTCTGCAATGGGGTGTCTGGACAGACTGCCGGTAGCAAACAGATCACATGTTGGGTGGAGGGATGGGGCGGTGGTGGTGGCACATGGCAGGCGACACAGTTTCTTCAGTTCACCATAACCATACTCCCTTCGTCTGCATTGTGCCATGTGTACATACATACATACATACAGTAATCTCCTAGAGCTGTTGATGCAGAATTGACGAATTGATTTGTCCTTATTTAAGGTTATTTGGATGTGTGATGTCGTCAGTGTAGATCTTCCTTTTTCTACTTTTTTTTACTCGTATTGACTGGAGCTGTCTATTACGGTTCGGGGTGAGAAAATGTAGGTAATGGCTAAATGCTGCATGGTAGGAAAATAAAAGTGAAAAGAGGCCCTGGCCGGATTCGAACCGGTGATCTCCTGTTTACTAGACAGGCGCTTTAACCGCTAAGCCACAAGGCCACTGCTGGGTGTTCCCACAGGAAAACTTGTCAACGGCCTGTCGGCTGAACCTCATGCCATTTTGTTTGCATACAAGCCGATGTGTTGATGCTTAGATCCCAAAAAACAGAACGAATGCAACATATTTTTGCTTAGCGAAGCAACCTTCGAACTGCTGTATGTGATGTTCACACATTATCGCCGTTTTGTTTGCCTATAAGCTGATGTGTTGATGCTTAGATCCCAAAAAACAGAGCGAATGCAACAAATTTGTGCTTAGCAAAGCAACCTTCGAACTGCTGTACGTGATGTTCACACATTATTGTGGCGCAGTCATTACATACACATAGAAATTCTGCATAGACTAGGTGGGGTCACTCCGTGAGCCAATAATGCGATTTTTCGGGAGCTCTTGCCAGCAGTTTCAAAAAGGAAAGTCAGAATCGTCATTTCATGAAGATGAAAATTAAATCGGCGAAAAAAAGGCCTTGGCCGGATTCGAACCAGCGATCTCCTGTTTACTAGACAGGCGCTTTAACCGCTAAGCCACAAGGCCTGAGACTGACACAAAACTGTTGAATAGGTGTTCAGTATTCTAAGGCTATTGTCTTCGCTATACTCCATAGTGGTGTGTTAATGGGATTCCTGTGGCGTTTCTACAATGCCATGCCTTTTGATAGAGGTGAACATCAGTCTCAACAGACTGTGGAGTCTGGGCCCGATTCTGGAACCACCTCAGAGTTGATAAAGTCACACACTTCCTTGAAGAGTCCTTCATCGTTCTCCAGTGACACCTACACAAGATGAAACGGAACAACATACACAACCCCATTATTGCAAATGCTTCAGCATATCCCATAGTTTGCCGACACACATCAATGCAGACTACATTGTGTGGTATACTGTTTTTTCTAAACATATTGCACCAAAAAACTACTCCGGCATACTCCGGTGAGTGTTGCAAACGAAGCAAAATTGTTGCAAACCGCACTCGCTATCCAATCACATTTTGAAAGTCGCTTTTGAAGCAGTTTGCGAAAGTATTTTGTTGCGAAAATGTCTACATAAGGTTACCTCAATGTATGGGAGTCTATGGACGAGAGCGTTGGTCATCCAGAGCTCTCCACGAGCTCTGGCAGTTGAGAGATATACTTTCAGAATGGTGGCCGCCGATAGGACACATCATCGAGAGGAGAAAAGAGGGCGTGGCAGCAGAGTTGGTCCAGGAGCTCCTCGGCCAGGGATCGAGGGAAGGAGGACAGCGTGTCTGAACTTAGCACACTCTGAACACACACACAGAATAGAAAGGTAAGGGGACAATTTGCCCTCCACCCCCCCCCCTCTGAAAACGGGAACAATAAATTTCTTTTTTTTTTTTTTGTAACCAAAGGCGGGGAGAGGAAGGGGGGGTG